AGAATGGATGATGAGAAAAACTTGCATTTTATATGTAGATTTGGTGTATGATGTTTATTATTCAGTACAGTCATAGAACAGGTATATTTGAATGAATGAACAAAAACATATAAGTAATCTTTGATTCGCAATATAACTAATATCATGTTTTGTTGGGGGGGGTTGGAGTTTGGGTATTTGGGAGTATTTTGAGATTTGCAGGTTCGACAAGAGCATTAATTCTCAACATAATTATTGTCCTGTTTTGGTTGGAGGGTTTATGTAGGATAGTAGGTATTCTTCGTAATGTATTATATTAATGATAATAATAATAATAATAATAATAATAATATATGTTTATTCAAAAACGTTTACAAAATATACATTGGAGCATACAGAGAGGTATTTTGAATGAACTGGGGGGAAAAACCTTACGAATTGAACCTTGTAGTAATGATGAAAAAACAAAGGTACATAGATCAATAAATATTTAACAATATTAAATGTAAATGTGTACTCAATTCTCATAATTATTTATATTTATATATACTCATTCACAATCATCAATCAAATGTTTCTAATTATGTTATTGAAAGTAAATTAATGAGAAAAAATCATTTTCAGTGGAGTCTAATATCCAGTTTTTTATTTTTATCGTATAGGATTGGAGTGATTTTGTTTTTATATCATTTGGAATTTTATTGTATCGGTAAGGAATTAGAAATTTATAATTTCTACGTCCGATTGACTTGTTTGTTTTATATTTCAATGTTATGTTTTTTTATTTCTCATGTCATATATAATTATGTTCTCTGAACTAAATGTCCGTTTTATTTTTGAGAATATGAATCTGTAAATTGTATATATGAAGTTGATTTATATCCATTTTCTTAGATTCCTTATATAAAAGTTCAGATGGAAACAAATAATCTTTTCCATAAATAATTTTCAAAATCCATTTTTGTGCAATTTCCAATTTCCTCAAATATATCTGCTTCACTCCACTCCATCCTAATATCCCATAAACTAATTGAGATTGAACTAAAGCATAATATATCATTTCTGTATTACAAATATTTAATATGTTTTTCGAATGTTATTATGTTATTAGATTAAAGTATAAATTTGGTACTCAGGTGTCTTGTTTCATCCGCAAGGAAAATCATAATTTATATCTGGGTAATAATTTCTGAATCAGTTAATAGAACATGTTTCCTAGTGTATAAAAGAACATGATCCGATGGAATATATCATCTCATTTATCGTCATAATCAATTTTCAAATAATCTTTTTTCTCGTTTTATATCCTTATCTAAGACAAATGGGTTTGTGCTTCAAAGAAACTCTAACATCAACAAAAAATGTTAATTTCGTAGATCGTTTCAAGAGAAATAAAAACAAGGGACTAATAACAGTTATGCTTCTCGGCTCTGTGGTAATTTTCCCCAAGATATATAGAGGGTAATGTAAACCATAGATAAACCAATTTAAACTCGGGAACTCCACGCTGGTAATCTTCAACAGTGACAAAGCAGGTTTCCTTTATTGCCTGTACAAATATTTTGATAGGCACTTATGTGCCACCAAAGAAGTCATCACCCCGTTTATCACCAGTCATCAGTCATCACCTAATGGTCTCACATTTGTTCATTGAAGGGGTTATCACAGTGGCGTACAAGTCCAAAATAATAAGAATATAATGATAAACTTTATTTTCTTTTTGATAGCCAAGAGAACAAAACAGTGAAATATTACTGCATAAAACTCAAAAAATATCTAAAGGAGTAAGTAGTAACATGATGGTATGGTTTCGATTCCCACCACGAACGCAGATTTTTTTCTGATAGCCTGAGAAAGTGTTTGGGATCACACGTTAAAAGGGAAGACCCCAGCTCCTGAAGACTTTTGAGGGTTGCTCGTAAGGGGGCAACCGAATGATGGATAAGAACAATTTCAGAACAACAATAGGGTTTGCATACAGTGTGTCCGTTGAATTGAGTGCAGTAGTGGATAAATCCATTTTTATCCATGCTATCAATTTCTGAGAAATCTCCTGAATCTCCTGGACGTTATAACTCAAGCGTGGATTATCCTGTATATTTAATTTTTCCTCATAAATGTGGCAAATAGAGAATAGAAGTAGACATGTTTTAGGAGATTTCTCGAAAATTGTTGGATGTATGGATGAAATAGAATTTCCACCACTCAATAGAAATCATTGAATTTATCGGACACACTGTATACAAAAGTCTATGTGTGATACAGTTTTTCATTCAGTTTTCCATAGAGATTCCAAAAATTGAATAATATGAGGTTGTTCCGTTTAAAAACCGGGTCACGGTCGTCATAACTCAAGCGTCTATCACCCTGCATATAAAATTTTCCGTTATAAATGTGGCAAATTGAAAATATAAATCAGGAGATTCCTCAGAAGTTCGGATGGAAATGAAATTATTGAGTACTTGAAGGAAGCATTCTAAGTATGTATTATTGATATTTTAATTTCAACTAGATGAATTCATCTATTTTTATTTTAATGAAACTGAAAATTGAGTATAAAGTCAATATGCTTTCGAGCGATTCTTGGAAATAGGTGAGAAGTGGCAATGTTTTGTTTTTCAACCTTGAGATATGTCGAAAAACGCTCTACCAAAACTTTTTCTTCTGTAGAACGGCAAAGTTGAGATTCCCCAAAATTCATTCAATAGTGTCTTCAGGTATATTTTTTTATGTATTGTTATAACTATTCATTTACCAAGGTTGCAAAGAATATCAGTATTACCCAGCGACCAAGATAACATCCCGATGCTCCAGCCAAGGGGTATAAGGTCTTTACTACCAAGGTGTATATTATTTTTTTACCATCATCACTAGCAATACTTCAATCATTTTAGTGCTGTAAAACTGAAATATGGACCTATTGTCACTTACGAGAGATTTAATTTCGTCTTTTGTCCATGTAAACTTGACATGTATCAATAAAAATTTTGTAGCCTGGCAATTTGACGAAATTTGAGTTGAATCACCTAATAGCAACAAAATTCGAATTATAAATGCCAAGTAATTCCGTAAGAGACTTTAATACATCAAACATTTGTTTATGCTTTCAAAAGTTAGGTTCCGTTATTGTCGCTGGAAATATTAGGGCAAACTTTTTTCGCTGTCATAATGACAAAATCACGCGGCTTGTGGGATTTTTCATACATGAATTAAATTGTCACTATGGAAGCACTTCTTTTCAAATCTAATTAAAATCCAGTAGCCATCATGACCAATGACAGCATATGACAAGTGATGGTTATTGATAAATACCTACTAGATTCGAGTGTCATTCCTGCGAATCTCTGATCAGAACAGGCTGTCTTTATTGACTAGTGTTTCATAAAATGACGAAAACTACCTTGGTAGTGAAATCACACTTCACGTCTCGAAAATGAGTAAACACAATGGTAGGTTATTCTATAGCTATAGTGGTGGAAAAAATGTTCTTTTTCAAAAAACGGTCCTTCATATTGTTTTCTGTAGTTTTTATATATGCCAACTGAATAACAGTTGAACACAGATTCCCCCAGAAGAACTGAATTCATCGATGAATCACACTTGGGGTCTAGAAGTATGAAAAATTGAGGAATTGTTTGTGTCACATCTATTTATTATTGGTCATAACTGACATTTAATTGAAACAAAAACAGAGTGGTGAGAAGTTCAGAATTCTGATGAATGGAATATTGATCAGAGCCTACTAATCTGATGAGTCATTTCATTTGCTTTTTTGTGTTTCAAAATCGGATAGACAATAGCGGCACTATATGGCTCGGGGTGTTTTTTATAAGTCAGTTTGTATGTTTTTTCATCTCTTGGAACGCAGAAATTCCTATGATGTTCAAAGATTTGATCAAAATATCACAAGAATTGGAGAAGGATTGAAAACTTGCTGTTTGAACGAACAAAGATGTCGAAGTTGGTATTTGGAAAAAACAAATAATAATCAGTGTGATGTCATGTCATGCTGAAGGAAATATCGAATAATGTACTTATATTGAATGATTGAGACAAGAATACATTTCTTTTTACATTGACATTTTATATTGTTTCAATATAGATAATGGCACTTGATGCAAAGATGAATTCAAATTATCATCATTATGATTAACGATATTATTTAAATAAAATTTAGATGGATAGATAGATAGATAGAAATTTATTCAACTACGTTACACAAAAATTGATGTTTGTAGCAGGTCAGATACAAGATACAAGAAGGCTTACATTTAAAAAACAAATTTCAAATTCAAAATTACAAAGTTGAAAATTCACAAAATTCAAATATTTCAAAAATCACCAATATATAAAAACAACAAACAACCAAACCAATTTTTGGACAGCAATAAATGGAGATGTGAGTTGTTTGTGTATGTGAAAATGCTCTCTGGAGTCATGACAGAGTAGAAACAATATCTCTATAGGTACCTTTTAAATTGTTTCTTGAAAGAATTCACACTGAGCATATCGAGATCCTGTGGCAAGATATTATATGTAATCTAGGGAATTCTTTTGGGATAATTGAAGACGATATCGATATTATCGATTTAGTCTGATATGATGACATTTTCTTGCATTATGTTCATGAATATGAGACTGTTTCAACATGCACGATTGCTTTTTGTGCATCTTAGTATATATATAGAGTTAGTGGTGGTATAATTCCAAGATATATTACTTTTTCCCAAGAATTGATGCAAGAATATTATAAATGGTGGTGAATATTGGATTCACAAAATCATACAGAATTCGAAAATGCCGAAATGGAATCAAAGGTTAGTACCCATTTCGGTGGAACCATGAAGATGATGCAAATCAGTGACGAAACGTCGGCATAGTTATGGAATGAAACAATTGTCACCTATAATGTTCGCTCGTTAATTTCATGAAAACTTCATCGATTATTAAAACACCACACTCACCAGAAAAGAGTTTGCCATGACTGTATGTTCGAAAAATTTTTGAATTCCGTCACCCACCTGTATACACACACCAGATTACCAACAAAACCGGAGAATCTAGCAGGCTGGCGCCTTAGGTGGACGTTATATAAGGTCTTGGTCATGCCCTGCCCCTTTTGCTTTGGCCCTTGATCGAGAAGTGGTCCATCAGGACCGTTATTAGTGGACATATTTATCGTATCAGTAGGTGCATCGTGTAAGTTTCACCTATGAAAAATTAGAAGCTTTGGTCCGTTGAATAAAAACAGGAAAGGAAGGAACGTTCCCTCAGAGCCCAAAGAAATATGCGATAATAATAATAATAATAATGATAATAATGATATTGAAAAGGAATATTCTCAGATATAATTATGAACATAAAAAAATGGATATATACAGGGTGTCCCATTGGGAAACGGAAAACCTTCAACAGTAGGTAGAGCTCATCAAGGTGGTTCTGAATATACCATATTTGTAGGGTCTCGCAAGTTTTAGATCCGAGATATAGGGTGTTTATCAATTTTGTTCAATTCTTTGTGAGGACATAACGTGCGAACCACCCAGTATATTCATTTGGAATTTGGTACACAATTTCGCCTTCTTCTACCAAAGCGACTCACCTATCAGTCACGAGGAAAATCCAGGACCGGATCAACTGAAATTGATCATATATCTGGACCCCAAAAATATCACCTTGTATTTTCGAATTTCCGAAATTCGCTCACATATTTGAAAAGTGCATGAGACTCTGAATCGTATGATGTACTTTATATTTTTCCGCATGCTATTCCACTAGGTAATTTCTGATTTTGAATATGAGGTTTCATGCATTTGGTTAGGTGAAAATGAAATGTTTTGTGTTTCCCCAATCGAATAACAAAAACTATCACGAATCACCCAGTATATTCTTTTGGAATATGATGGTACACAAGTCCTCCTCCTCCTACCCCAGCGACTCACCTATCAGTCACCATGAAAATCCAGGTACAGATTAACGAATAATTATGATCTTCTGGGCCCAAAAAAGAACACCCAGTATTTTCGAATTCCCAAAATCCGATTCAATATTTGGAAAGGTCACAAAGAGATGAATCGAATTGTGTACTTTTCATTGTCCCGCATGCTCTTTCACTATTTAATTTCTTATTCTGGAAACTCAAAACTTTCCATCTTACCTCGATTTCTATACCTATTCAAATGCATGAAACCTCAAATTCAAAATCATAAATTCAGTAGTGAAGTAGCATTCGTATGAAAACAAGTAGACAATATGATTCAGCTTTTTGTGCAATTTTCAAATATGAAAGCATACTGTAGGAATTCGAAAATACAGGGTGTTCTTTTTGGGGCCCAGAAATATAATGAATTCTTGTTAATTCGGACCTGGATTTTTCTCGTGAATGATAGGTGAGGGGCTTGGGTAGATCAAGGAGAACTCGTGTATCAAATTCCAAGAAAAATATACTGGGTGGTTCGTGATAATATTATTCGATTGGGAAAACTCAAAACGTATTATTTTTACCTACCCAATTGCATAAAACCTCGAATTCAAAATCAGAAATTCCTTTGTGAAATTGCATGTTGGGAAATGAAAAGTACACCATTCGATTCAGCTTTTTCCCTATATGTTAGCAGATTTTGAGAATTCGAAAATACAGGGTGTTCTTTTAGGGGTCCAGAAATATGATCAATTTTCGTTAATCCGGACCTGGATTTTCCTCGTGGATGATAGGTGAGACGCTTGGGTAGAATAAGGTGAACTCGTGTACGAAAGTCCAAAAGAATATACTGGGTGGTTCGTGATAATTGTTGTTATTCGATTGGGAAAACTCAAAACATATTATTTTTACCTATCCAAATGCATAAAACTTCGAATTCAAAATCAGAAATTCCTTAGTGAAATTGCATGCGGGAGAATGACAAGTATACCATTCGGTTCAGCTTTTTGTGCAATTTCCAAATATGTAAGCGGATCTTGAGAATTCGAAAATACAGGGTGTTCTCTTTGGTGTCCAGAAATATCATCAATTTTTGTAAATCCGGACCTGAAATTTGTTCCTGACTGATAGGTGAGTCGCTTTGTTAGAAAAAGAAGGAATTGTGTAACACAATGCAAAAGAATATACTAAGTGGTTTGTAAGTTAAAAATATATATGATCAATTTTCGTTGATCTGGTCTTGGATTTTTCTTGCGACTGATAGGTGAGTCGCTTCGGTAGAAAAAGGCGAAATTGTGTATCAAATTCCAAATGAATATACTGGGTGGTTCGCAAGTTATGTCCTCACAAAGAATTGAACAAAATTGATAGAACACCCTATATCTCGGATCTAAAACTTGTGAGACCCTACAAATATGGTATATTCAGAACCACCTTGATGAGCTCTACCCACTGTTGAAGTTTTTCCGTTTCCCAATGGGACATCCTGTATATACACACACTGGCACAATTAGGGGAACGGGTAAAATTTACACTAAGTTTGACATCAATTTTCTCTCGAACCGATCACTCGATTCAAATTTGTTTTTCACGAATTGTAGCATCATTCTTTACGAATACATCTGAGAAATAACCACCTCCAAACGATTCGTCTTTATATCATATACAGGGGTGTAAAGAAAGTACGGATTTTTCGGTATTCTTTAAGACATCCTGTGGAGTGAACCACTAATAATCAAACCGATTTTCCAACACCAAATTACAGCTATCCCGAATATTTTCGTTTTCTATTCATCTTGATATCCCAATTATCCAAGAAAATATAGAGTTTCAAAGAAGAGGTGGATATTGGTATTAATTTTACCACCTCGAAACTCGAACTGGGGAGAACGTGTCGTTTTTCAACTTGTTTCTGTGTGTTTACTGTTACGAAAGAAAATTGATGTCAAACTTAGTGTAAATTTTGCCCGTTCCCCTAATTGTGCCAGTGTGTGTATATACATATAAAATTAAATACATTGAGAATTCGCATTCTCTATGTGATGAAAATATCAATTCTTTTTCGATTTATTCAACATAAAAAAACTACTTTCCTGGCTATATGCCACGACGAACATTGAATTACATCTATTGAACACACGATAAGACTTTGGTAACAAAATCTTCTGAATTAGAGAATCTGCATTCTTCTTCATATAAAAGATATGCACATAATGTCATTCTGAATATTCAACAGGAAACAACTACTTTCCTGGCTATTTGAAACGTCGAAAATTGAAGTAAATCTGTTGAACATCCAAAAAGAGAGTATGAAATATGAAAATCCTCTGAAATTGAGAATGGACATCATCTCTCAAATCGGATAAAATAACATGATGTAATATGATATAAAAATATAACTCACTGAACGTTCAGTTTCCAAATTCTTATCGTGTGGGTTCAATAGATGTAATTCAATGTTCGTCGTGGCATATATCCAGAAAAGTAGTTGTTTTCTGTTGAATGAGCCGAGAAAGAATTGACATTTTCATCACATAGAGAATGCGAATTCTCAACGTATTTCTTTAAGTCTACAGGGTGGCATTGAAAAAAATGCAAATATTCCATGCCTTGAGTAAGCTCGACGTATAATATATCAAGTGGTACCAATAAAACAAATATAGGGAACGAAATACAATTTGAGGTTTGACCCCTTTTTCTACCCAAAGTTCCACACTGTAGCCATTCTGACGTCACCTCTGTTCAAATTTTCGTGCAGAAGGATTAAAGTGGCGTACTAACTTTTTTCTCGTGTTCTGTTCAATTTTCGGGATGACATTTCTTGTCAATTAGAATAATGAGGAAAAATCTGATATCATGGAAATCTGAGAATATTCCTCCTCAATACTTTCACCCAATCAAGGGGTTCAAAGTTGAATGATGGAAACTTGTTATTTTTATAGACCTCAATCGCAGCTTCGTGATTAGGTTTTCAATTCAGAATTTCTTTCCACGTCCTGTATGATGAATATATCAATTTTTCATACATTCAGAAACCAATAATACGTCCTTAAAATATTGACATCAAATTTTGAATCACCCTAATCACTGATAATACCAAATGGTTAATGGTCCTTCCTTACACCACTACATTCAACGGTCTTTTTCAACGTGGACTTTTCCTGCTTCTTCTTTTTTTTTATGTATCATTCCGAGGCTGCCTACGAGGATTGTTTTAGATGGCGGCTTTCCGAATGTAAATTGGAGGCAATTACGGTGATGAATAAAAAAATGTGATGGAAAATAACTCATTCGATGAAAGCCATAAAACATCAACAGGTTCAAATAGGAAACAAAAAAACAGGAAGGTTGTATTTTTTGACAAGAGAGTAACGACAACGAGGGGTAAGTACATGGGGCAATCCGGTGTACAACTTAGGGGTATTGCGGGGCAATGCGAGGCAGTGTGGGGCATTGCGGGGCAATGCGAGGCATTGTCGGGCACTGCAGGGTATTGATGGGCATTGCAAGGCATTGTGAGGCATTGTTAGGCAATGCGGGGTATTGAAATAGCACTGAAAGGGCAATGTGGAGCAATGTTTTGGCTTAATTTGTTGCGCGCGCATCCGTTTCTGTTCGAGGTCACAATATTCATTGCTATGGTTCAAGGTGATGCCTCCGCCTACATTTTGATTGCGCCATTCAAGCGTTTCGCATCGCGGCATGCTGTCATCAACTCCGGCTACAGCTAGCTTTGGATTGGATTGGAATTGGAAAAAGTCCATATGTGAGAGTCACTTTTGGCAAATTATAATATGATTATGATAAAAAAAATCATCATTATGCTGGCTTCTAAGTGGGGGGGAGGGACGGATCAGTAACGATCGCATACAGCGTTTCAATTCTATATCCTAGATCTGTCCAAGAAAGAAAGTCGAAAATACCTGCTGACAATTCAAAAACTAAGAAAAAGAGAACTGAATGTATCGGAGATTCTTCTTCAGAAGAAAATGAACCAGATATCGTTTCAGACGATTCCACAGATGTGGAGTCATTCTACTCTTTGGGAGAAGATCGGGAAGAAGATAGGATGATGAAAAAATTGACGTTTTCGATCCTGAAATAGATAAAGAGATGATTTCTATGCAGTGATATTCGATAAAAACTGGTATCTGGGACTGGTAATGAAAAAAAAACCAAGACAGATTTGGAATAAGGTTTTTAGAAAACATTCCAACAAGTGGCCAGAAAAATCAGTAATTGAAAATTCTATA